TCAAGGTTGACTCAGCCTTCTATCCTTCCGAGGTCGGTAAAATGAGTACCCAGCTCGCTGGCATAATTAACGTGTAAACCACCCAGAGAGTGCTTGGGGCACTATGGGGTGATATATAAGCAGCACGCTTTGCTTTTTTGCTTTCCATGATGCAGGGTGACACTGATCATGTATCCTATGATGAAAACATCAAGAGACTTGAGCAATAATGAAGACAGGGCTTCTGCCGTGAACGTGAAATGAAACTACAGTGAGCTGAAGCAATGTCTCTATATCATCCTTCTGTTAAGCGGGGAGAATAAATGTGGAAAGACGAGGAATACACTCACCCCACCCACCCCCTTCCGCCGCCACTTTGGTCCCTCTCATGACAGAGGGATAAAATTTATCCCTCCTCCTTATGTTTATGCTGCCGCCATGCCAGGCCGTCCCGAAAGGGCTTACACACATGCATATGAATGAGATAAACGGTCATGTGCTCTCAGGGAGAAGCATTAGCTCAATTGAGACTTCCTCCTCCAGTGTCATTTCGTCACATGGAACAAATGAGTTATATGGATCAGGAACCAATCCAAGAGCAAGCTCAAAGGGAGCTGTAAAAATACAACTTGTTCTCTCTGTCTTTTAAAGTTTAAAGGTTTTTGTGCTGAGCAAGTCATGGGCTTGGAGCAATTGTCCACTGCCAACTGTTGACCGCAGCCTCATTATAATCAAATCCCTCATTATTTTCCTGGGTGTGCAGTTTCCTCAAATTATAGTAATGCTGCCATAAATCACATAACGTCCTTGCTTGGCTAGGGAGGCGTGTGCATCTAGCCGGTGATTAGCGAACGACATTGCCCGCCCCTCTGAAACGTGGGCTCCTGACGTTGAAACAAAACCAGCCGGCGCATTCTAGCAAACAGCTTCCTCAGCAGCGCTAGAGCAATATGTGGAAGCGGTACCAAAAAGTGGACCTGCGGTGGGAGTGGCAGGGGGTAGGGGGGAACTGCAGCGATGCTGCGAGGAAAGGCAAGAAGGCAAGAAAGAAGGCCGAGAGGAAGCAAGAGACGGTGATGCTGCAGGAGAAGCATGTTAGCAGCCCAAAGTGTGGAGGATGGAAGAGATTCCTCTAAAACAGGGACAGGAAGGCATGCACCAGAAGGCTGTGTGGGGTCCGTACCTGTTTTTGCAGCCCCTCAGCAACCCCCTACCACCGCTGTGCCATTGCCCATTAAGTACAATTCTTCTTTAAAGGAAGAATTTGCTGAAAATATGCATGTGGGAGATGTTAAACGGAAAAGTACTTTTGATTATGGTCAAGCTCATAAAAAGTCATAGGGGCATGATTCATCGGAGTTGCTTACCCTCTCTCTTCTAAAAGAGAGAATTATATTTGGAGAGCGTTTTACAGATCTTAATTGTGCATGCCACAGATCCTACCCTCTGATCTCATAGCAGTTGTGGGATACCTAAAAGTAATCTAAGTTCCTTTTGGTGAATTACAGCCATGATGTGTATAGGATACTGGTACCAGTGTAGTCCCCCAAAAGAAACTCCTCAAGTAACATTTGCATGCTGGTTCAATGTCTGTAACATCTGCTCCAAGTTGTTTTGCTACCTGAGCAGGAAGATGGGAGAACCTTCCTTTTCTGCTCCAGCTGAGTACCTGGGCATGTCAGCCAGTAGTGACTTTATATATATATATTAAAGGCTTCTTCCCGCCCACCCATCTTGAGAGTCACAAAGTTTTCTTTAAATGGGTTCCCAAGGGAGCCCAGGAATCCAGGAGAGGGGACAGGAAGCTTTGAACTGAACTGAACTGAATTGAATTGAATTGAAGAGTAACGTCCATGAGTGATTACATCACCACCATTGGAGTTGCACAACAGGATTGCAACCTCCCTGTGGATAATGATGTCCACAACAGGAGAAAAATATTGGGTCAGCATTGGTTGGTTGGTTGGTTGGTTGGTTGGTTGGTTGGTTGGTTGGTTGGTTGGTTGGTTGGTTGGTTGGTTGGTTGGTTGGTAGGTTGGTAGGTTGGTAGGTTGGTTGGTTGGTTGGTTGGTTGGTTGGTTGGTTGGTTGGTTGGTTGGTTGGTTGGTTGGTTGGTTGGTTTTGACCCAAGAGACCTGTTCTTACTGGAAGTGAAAATTATTAACATTAGTTTGCTGATGTGGATGGCCACAGGTGTCTGTAGTTTTGGATCCAGTTTGGGGTTGTGAGTATGGTGAACTGTATCACACCACACAATATCACACTATACAGTTTGTTTTAGATCATGAACAGGTGAAGCCTGCATTCCAGAATTTGCCACTGGGCTGCATTATTACAATGCCCAGTTTTCCATATTGCATTGTATTCCCAGAGCTGGATAGCATTTAAAAAGCTTACATACAGTAGGTATTGTGCGTTTTATTATCTGTGGTTATATTTGATGGTTTTGTTTATGGGCAGGCTGCATAAGGAGTCTCTAGCATAGATCCATGAGAAAGTGGATCATCTTCCTCATTCTGCAGAGCCTTACTCATAAAAAACACTATTTTCTTTCGAGAATAATGAACACTCAATAACGCATCACTAGACTTGCTCTGGAGAGACTTTCAAAAATATCTTTTGTTGCTGTGAACACTCAGATGTTATCATACAGACATTGTGCCATGCACTTTTTGAGGTGTTTTAAAATGTCTGCCTACGTTCCTATATTGCTTTCAACTTTAAATATTCTCTTTCAGTGTTGTAAGTCGCCTTGGGTCCTTCGCAAGGAGAAAGGCGGAGCAAAAAAATTATTTTAAATAAATAAAATAAAATAAAAGCCCTGCAATTTTTCATGACAGTCACACAAAAAGGAAGTTTGTATGAACTGAAAGGCACCCGGATCTCTGTCTGAAATCGACGGGACGGGTCAGAAATTGGGACAAGCAAAACTGCCGAAATTCATCACAAAACAGATGGCATTTTTTAAAAAATAGGCCTCCAGGAATGCTTCAACCGGTCCCGGGAATATCAGCTCAATGACTCCGCTCAGTAGTGAGTATTCTGGCATGCCCCAAATGTGATGCTGCAGCTTCAAAGGAGAGTAGGGCCCCTCCTGTCTGCCAACTCATTATCTGATGTTCACTTATCCGCGGTCTGAAAATATTGAAAATATTAAAAGAAAAAAATCTAGAAATATATATTTTTAAAGATGAAGTTACTAGAACTGGCCACCAGAAGGAGCCAGAGACCATGCTCTGCATCGGGTTCCCTAGAGAAATAGTGTTTGCTCTAATCTGTGTTTTTCAGCATCCACTGGGACAGGGGTTGGAACCGATCCCCCACGGATGCAGGAGTCCTGTTGTATTGTATGTACCCATTTCCATCCTTCTTTCATGTGCCCACTATTTTTTTTTTAAGCGTAAAGGGTTTCAGAGCTTGACAGGTGCATATTAAGGACACCATTTTGAAAACAACACCTTTAACGTTAAATAGTAGTGTTTTAAAACATGGTCCTTCTCAACCGCAGACGCATTTGCTTTTAACAAGAAAGCAATGCATTAGAAACCCCATCACAATTTTCAAGAGTGGGCGTACAAACCCGGAGTCGCCGCCCTTTTCTAGTCCGAAAACTCTGGGCCAATGTCGTGGAGCGACACGGTCCAATATTTTCTCGTTCAAATCTGTGTACGACTTCCTCAGTTGTGCTTCCCATACTGAGAAGGCATTGGTGGGGAGGAATCTTACAATATTGTGCCTTTTCTGGACCATCAATATTGAAGTCTGTGAATTCTGACCTGTATGAAAGTCCCTGGAGCGACACGGTCCAATATTTTCTCGTTCAAATCTGTGTACGACTTCCTCAGTTGTGCTTCCCATACTGAGAAGGCATTGGTGGGGAGGAATCTTACAATATTGTGCCTTTTCTGGACCGTCAATATTGAAGTCTGTGAATTCTGACCCGTATGAAAGTCCCCGCGGGGGAATCGAACCTCTGTCTCCACAGCCAGAGACCTACGCTACAGAGTCATCCAGCCAGCAGAACTAGCCATTACAAAGGCATCCGCAGCTGGATTTGCTCTACATTTGCTGCTATTGTGATCCAGAAGCCCATGGTCATCGTCCTTCCCTCTGAATCTTTACAGCCAAAGATCTCCTTGCGCTGGTCCAAGGTTGCAGCCTCACTTAAATATCATCTCACCACAGCATGTTCAGATCTTTTACTGTCCCGGCCCCTCGGGTGTTTTTTAACACTGAGAAATAAGAGCCTGTCAAAAATTCAGGGTCACGCCAGCCCTGCCTGGGCTTTTTCATCCCCATCTCCAAACCACAGAGATCTAAGTGCATTAGTTAACACCAGATGAGAACACTAGTGACAACTCACTCATGACCCGCTTGCTATTTCGTTAGCCCTTGACCATTTCCCCACCTTTTTCTTTCTCCCGACCTCTGCTTAAAAACAAAATAAGCTTCTAGCAAGAACTGGATTAACTCTGGCCGTGGCATTAGAGGTTGGGAGTTTGATTCGCCACTGGGCTTCCTTGACGGGGGGGGGGGGGCTGGATTTATTATCCCCGGCTTTATGCACAAAAGAAACAAACTGGCACGTAAGAGCATGGGCTTCTCTAAACGGTACCTTTACTCTACGCCAGATGCTAAGTGGAAAATCAATCCAAATAAAGGTGTCCTGTGTTTATTAAAATGTCTCCCATCTGCGCCAACAAACTCAGCCACGAAGACGCCTGTCAGTGGAAATCTTGGGAACTCAGTAGATCTGTTGGCCCGTGGTCTCTTGTTGGGAAGATTCTTTGGATCCCATAGATACAGGATGAGAAAGTTTAACCATATCTGTCCCCCCCCCAAAAAAAAACCTCTCTTTTTTCTTCTTGTAGTTTATTGGATTCCACTGTAGGACTTTATTTCCCATATTTTCCTTCTCTTTTTTTCTTGCTGTGTTGTCTTCCAAAGGTTACTTTTACATTTTAGCGGGCTACGGTGCAGGAATATCGCATGGTTCAAGAGCTGGCTCACACACAGCTGTGTTCACAACAAAATGGACATAGAAAGAGTATATTTTCTGCCCTAAGTCAGCAGCTGGCATCGTTCCAATTGCTGTTGTTTTTAAGTTCCAAACAAGCAACTATAATTGCTCCTTTGATGAAACAGGAAAATAGATCTACATTTTTTGGAAAAAAAAAAAAAACCCTTCCCAGCCCTTATGGCAGCAGGGCTTTCTTTAGAGCAAACCTAAAGATTAGAACAATATTGCAAAGATATTTTGCATTTGGGAGTGGCCTAATAAAGGTATGACATGGTCTCTGGAGTTTGCCTTGTGGGCACCTTGACCGCCCTCTCTTTTTTTACACAGTCGCTATGATGAGAACTGATTGCCAGGGAGCGGGAAGAACTCTGGCATGGTAATTGTAGCTAATGACTTCTTTAACAGAAACTCCCCTTGCTTGGCATGCTAGGGTCCCCTTAGCCATTACTCAACATTTGCAGCCGGGTGGGGCATTCAGATGACACCCCGATGCTCCATCACCTCCCCTGATCACATGTATGTATGGCAGAAATACTTTCCAAGGTCTACAGAAAACCCACCCACACAGACTGGTACCTACACAAAAACTCCAACCACCACCCACAGCAAAAAAGAGGCATATTCAAAAAATCTGGTAGACCGTGCAGATCGGAACCGTGAAGCTCAAATTTCTCAGCACCGAATTCAACCATCTGAATTGGGCCCTACAGGCAAATGGCTTCTCCAAAAATGAAATCACAAGAGCCATCAAACCAAGAAAACAACACCAAACTGAAGAGGAAAAACAGCCACCCACAAATAAAGTATTTCTGCCATACATCAAAGGAGTCATGGACTGGATGGGGAAATTTTTGAAAAAACACAACCTACAAACAGTATTTTGGCCCACCACAAAAATACAACAAATGTTACAGTCAGCAAAGGACAGAAGGGACCCCCTCACCACTGCAGGAGTATACCAGATACCTTGCAGTTGTGGACAGGTATATATTGGAACCACAAAATGTAGCATCCACACCAGAATCAAAGAACATGAGAGACACTGCGGACTAAAACAATCAGAAAACTCAGCAGTAGCTGATCATGCCCTAAAACAAGCTGGACATGAAAGTCTATTTCAAAATACTGAAATATTGGACAACACCAGCAATTATTATGTTAGACTGCACAGGGAAGCCATTGAAATCCACAAACACCAGGAAAACTTCAATAAAAAAAAGAAGAAATTTTAAAACTCAACAAAGCCTTGCTCTCAGAACTGAAAAATACAGCCTGCAAAAGGTCAACAAACTCTACTCAGCTACAAAGACTGGTGATGCCTGCACACAAAAACTAGCTAATGACACCCATCAATCACAGTGACAGATAATCTCTCCCTCTTATCACAACAATACACTCACAACAAAAAACACGCTGATCACCACAATCACCCATCTCCTGAAAAGGACAAAAACTGATCCCACAGCTATAAATACTCAACTATTCAACAAACTGCAACAGAGCGCAGACAACGTACTGACTCCTGTCCTCTGAAGATGCCGGCCACAAAGACTGGCGAAATGTTAGGAAGAACAACCTTCGGAACACGGACAAAGAGCCCCAAAAACCCACAACAATGAAATAAATGTTGTTTTTCAGATAGGCAGTTGTTATGGAAGTTTGTTCCTATACCGAAAAAAGGGGGTTAGAAAGAAGAGTGCCTTCTCAACATCATTAGCAGCACAAGACTGAGATAGAGAACAATGCATACATGTAGAAGTAACTTTAAAAGTTACTGTTCCATTACAAAAGGAGTGTATTAAAGAGGGGCTAGAGAGAGATTTGAGAAGAAGGAAGATTCCTCCCTCCCTTGTTTTATCTGTGTCACACTCACAGGTGTGTGTGTGTCTGTCTGTCTATGGCACCATCAGGAGGAACAGACTAAAAAATCTCAGTGCCTCCAGCCCCCACTAACTTAAAGCCATCAAGGAGACAACGAAGGGGAGGGATCAGCGGAAGTAACTGAGCCGCGCCACTCTAAAACGCGAACTTCATTCGGGTTCCCAGAAACCAGCCCTTCAGAATGCCCCTGTGTTGATACCAAAAGAAGGAAGTGCTGTATTAAGAAGGGGAGTGCCATATGTCGGCATAAAGGGCTGTGCAGACCGCTTGCAGGGTTGCACTGGACGGAGGCCAGGAATTCATTTCCTACGGGTCCCGAGATGGCAAGAGAAGTCACACAATCTGGCAGGAAGTCAGGTTTGCACAGAACTCGCCCGTGGCACCACCATGCCATGGCCCAATGAGATCTCGGTTGGTTGACCTTTCCAGTGAACCAGGATAAAGCACTGACTATAAGAAAGAGAGAGAGAGAGAGAGAGAGAGAGAGAGATTAATTTACATCAGGACCTTCCAGCTGGCGGCCGGAACAGAAGAGAAGCATAGAGAGTGAGACATCGCAAGGCTGGCCAACGTTCTTAAGGCTACTGTGGAAATAATGGCATATCTGCTAGCTGGATGGCTCAGTGGGTCAGGCATCTGGCTGCAGAGCTAGAGGTTGGGGGTTCGATTCCCCACTGTGTCTCCTGTGAAGTAGAGTGAGCCGGGGTGGCCTTGGGCAAGCTGCACAGCACCAGAACACACCCCAGAAGAAGAGAATGGTAAATCACTTCTGAGTATTCCCTACCTGGAAAAGGTCACCATATGTCACAATTTTATTGTTATTAATAATTATTATTAATTATTTTTATTATTTTTATTATTTTTATTATTATCATCATCATCATCATTTTTATATTGTTGTTGTTGTTATTGTTATTGCTACTATTATTACTTGTTGTTATTGTTATTGTTACTATTATTACTGTTGTTGTTGTTGTTAAGAGATCTTATGTAACGTGGATCAGACAGTTTCCATTGTTTACATAATTCCAGAGAAGGTTGCATATCTTGGCACATGGTTTCTGCTTCCCATGTGCTGAGCTCAGTTCTGTTGTCATGCACAGCCTTTTGATCTGAGAAGTGGTGCTGCGCTGAGTCAGAGCTATGGGCCTTCCGGCTGAGCGTGGTTGCTCCCTGAACTGCAGTCAGCCATCTGTCCCTCGGAGAATCTGAGAGGTTGGGTGATGTGGTCACAGTGGCCACTTCTCGTGTGCGCCTAGTAGGTAGTTGCTGGGAGATCTAAGCATGTGATCAATTGTAAACATTTCTATCCGTCCAGCACCTGTGATTTCCTGCTTCTCCCATCACCATGTCTGATCCTTGCCTCCTTCCACTGAGTTTACGGGTTGGGTGTAGGCCAAAATCTATTCTTTTCCGCATGCAGAGGGAGAGAGAGAGAGCAGCCTACGTTGTGTATACTTGTACAGAACTGATGACATTACCTTTTTTACAAGTAATTCATCCCCATTACTCATTACAGTGTTTTGGAAGAGATTAATTATTGTTACTCATTAGGGTGCTTTTAATTGAAAGGAGGTGGCTTGTTACATTACTTGTTCCTTTTTATTATATTTTCATTTTTTAAAAAAATCATCCACTTGGCAAGAGAGATTGGCCTGAAATGGGAATTCAACTCACAATGCTTCCCTTATAAAGTAGCTAGGAAGTAACTAGAAAAGATTGCCCATTACATACGGATAGAAACCTCTGTTTTTATACCCTGGTGTTTTTGTTTTTAATCTTATTTTAGGACTTTTCATTTTGTAAAGCAACCTCTTCGTGCTCCATTCAAGTTACATTTTTTTTTATTCTGCCATATAGGCCTATCAAAGTCCATATTTGACAATACACACAAAAATTGATATTATTCCCACTTAGTATGTTCCTTCTTAAATGTAGCTTCATTATGTCCTCCTTGCCAGAATAAAAAATCATCTTAGTAAAGGCAATTTCCTAGTTCCCGGCTTGGTTCAAGATCATATAGACTGAAATCCTGTTATGCAGTTAGGCAAAAGACATAACTTTTAGCAGCTAACTGCTGTAAGTTAAGAAATCTCCACGGACATTGTCTGCTGCGTGCTGAGTTGCACAATCTGGTATGCAATGCCTATGGAAATTTCTTAACTTAGGCAATGCACCACTAAATCCTACGCCTTTTGAGTAAGTGTGCAACAGGTTTTTGGCCTTAAATTGCTTGCATGTATTCTTCCCCGTGGCAATGGATGCTTGTGTTATGCTCTCTCTTTTTCCAAATATTTGAAAGGGATGCATTGGTCTAACCATGCATTTGAAGGGTGGCTGTTTTATCAGAGGCCACCAGAGGTAGCCAGCAATATGGAAATTTGGAGATACTGAGTGGAACTCAATTCCCAATACAGCGACTGCAAAGTGGATGGATTTCTTGTATATCTCTGGATGAAATCTTCTTTGCTGGCAGAATGAGCCTTTATGAGCCCGCATGACAGATGTTTCCTCTTGATAATAGCAGGTCTGCCTCATTCCACTGCATCAACTGCTGTTTTAATCTTGAGGCAGCTGTAGAGATGATCATTTAGGCTAATGTCCTCCCAGTTGTCTAGTATTACATGATTTGGGCCATCATTTTGGAAGGTCTCCATATTCTCAAGATGGAAACAATGCAGCTTAGTTCCAGGATTTTCATTTTATCATATCATCCAAAGCCCAAAGCAAATGAGGTGGCAGCTTCCAGGGAAGTTGGCGAGTCTTTGGGTCATGGTCCAAGCTGTCGGTACCAAGCTCCCCCGAGTCCCAAGCCCCATGTCTGAGCCCCTATTGAAAACAAGTCTTTTCCCCCAGAAAAAAAGGGAGAGGGTGGGTCGGTTCTGAGTCGCAACTTGAATCTGAGTCATTAAAGAAAAAAGCCTTAGTTGAGTCTAATTTTGCTGGTGTGCACTTATCACTTTTGAACTTTTAGCAGAATAAGGGGCTTTCATGCAAAAAAGTGAGAGAAAAGAATTCTTGTTGCTGTGGATAGGAAGAAAGGAGCGGTCTTCTCATTCTTGTGTGGTTGCGCCCCTCTTTTTTTTTTACGGGTTGTCTCAATGTGTATGTCCTTAAAATGTGCAATAAATCGCAAATATAATAACAGAACTTGGCTAAAGATTAAAACATCCTTCTGGGAAAAGAGGAGGTGTTTTTTGTTTGTATCTCGGTCGGACCCGTGCTTCTTTGGCAAAGTGACTGGTACAACGAGCAAGGAATTAATAATGTTGGGGCCCTGATCCCATTCATGGAAAAGACCCTCAAAACCCAACAGCTACTGCGATTTGGCAGACGAATAGGTAACCCTGAAAGAAATCGAAAGGAGGCATTTTGTGACAAAGATTCAGCTTCCCCAGACCCTTATCCTACCCATTGCTGCTTCATCAAAGGTGGGTGCCTCTGTCACCAAAGGGTGATGAACGCCTTTTTTAAAAAAAGCTTGCCCAAGGGTGCAGGAGGAGTAATTCCATGCAGGAGGCGTAGTTCTCTGCAATTTGTTCCTGGAAATGAATGATGAACATAATTAGCCAAGGGGGCCCCAACGAAGCCAAGAGTGGCTCGCTTTCTGATGAGTTGAACAAGAATCCCACTGGATCAGGCCCAGAGCCCCTTGAGGCCCGCATTCAGTTTTGACGGGGGCCAACCAGGTTGATAGATAGTCCTCCTATATTGAGAAGTATCAGGAAGTAGGAAGTAATCTCACAGGAAGAAGGAGGAACGAAGCCTAGAAATACCAATCTGCATATAGATCTAGAGAAGAGATGAGAAAAATATCAGTAGATATTTGCACTAATACACTAATGGGGTGGTATATAAATCAATCAGTCAAACAAACAAATAGTCCTCCTATATAGCTCTTTTCTATTCTCTAGATCTTCTCAATTTTTAAAAAATTAAATAAATGACTGCTAGCAAACGGGCATGCATAGAAACCAGTACTAGAAGAGTCTTTGTAAAATGTAGAGTTCTAGCAGCAACAAGGCAATAGGCAGATAACAGCGAACCCTATACATAGCATGGTCTCTAGCTCCCTCCAGTCAAAGTTTCTGGAAATTACATTCCGGTAAATACATATAAATATATATTTCAAGGAGGTTTTATTTAATATCTCCACCCAGCGGATAAGCGAATCCATGGGTGCGGAACCTGCGATAGGGGAGTCCTACTATAATGAAAGAATAGGTCCCTGCCTCATTAGGCTTACAAGCAAGAAGACATCTGAGAGTGATCGTTGGCCAAGTTGCTTGGAGGAGAACTTCGATAGCCATCATGATGACTCCTGTGTTGTGATTTGGTTTTCCGATCTATTTAACACTTTTAGTTGTGGTATCCCCCCCTTCTCTAAAGAGTTTTCTAAAGCACTCATTGCAAACAACAACAGTGACAAGATGTTTTATCCTTAAAGCTTCTGTGGTGTGTTCCTTTTACAGCTACCTAGATAGTTTAGATCGAATTGGAAATGCGGACTATCAGCCGACGGAGCAAGACATTCTTCGAACCAGGGTGAAAACCACAGGCATCGTAGAAACCCATTTCACATTCAAAAACCTCCACTTCAGGTGAGTGCAGTGCCTAAATGTTAAGAGTAGGCTGGCATCGGTTCCATGCGGTTTGCACCCTCAGTGCTTCCACCCGACGCACCAAATGTCCTGCACCATCATACAGTATAAACCCCAGATACTGGCTGGCAAAACAGACCTCCTTTCTAGATTATCAGCAACAAAAAGCAAAGTTAACGTGTTATGGCATTTTTAAGACTAGCAAATTTACTTCGCCATGAATCTGTGGATACAGTCTACCTCCTCAGACACATTCTAGTACCTTGTATTGCAAAATAGTTTATTACCTTCAGCATTTGTTGTAAAAAAAAAATCTGATTAGTTTGAAAAATGTATTTTACAAAAAGGATCAAAGGAAAAAAGGATACAGTCCACCTCCTCAGACACATTCTAGTACCTCGTAATGCAAAATACTTTATTACCTTCAGCATTTTTTGTAAAAAACAAAATATCTGATTACTTTGAAAAACGTATTTTTAAAAAATGGATCAAAGAAAAAAGTGGCTCAAAAAGCAGGCATTTTCTTAGTGACTGGCTATCTAAGAGGTGCTTTTCTGAATGGGACTGTTCTGTTCTGTTGTTATTTCCAGTGTGTTTTTGTCGATGTTTTTATCCACTAGCTTTAATAGTATGTTTACTGAATTCTTTTTAAATATCATAATAATTTTAGATTTTAATGTTGTTTCTTTTTCATGATGTAAACCACCTTGAGCCCTTTTTAGGAGTAAGGCTGAACATAAATATTGTAAATAAATAAAAAAACAAATAATCAAACAAATAATCTCATCTGGCCGTTCTCCTTCTCCTTGCTCACTAGGTCAAGTTATACATTAGATCAAACTATACCTTACATACAGCCAGCATGAAATTGGAAAAGGGAGTGTTTTTTTAATGCTTGGAGTATGTGATTGTCATAGCAGATGACAGTTTCCTTGAAGCCACACTGCAGCATCAAACCAGTTAAAAATAGATAGAAAACTTACTCCCACTCCCCCACCCCAGGGCGGGAAACATAAGAAGATGCAAAATGTCTGTGGGATTTTTTATTTTTATTTTTTAAAAAAGCCCTTTGAATCAGTATAGAATTGATTGCTCAGCAAGTCAATTTAGCATGATTCCATTTTGGGGGGAAAAATAATTAAAAGTTTCCTCCTGCTGCTCCATGGAGAGGGAGACAGGAGGGAACAAAGAGAGGGATCCTGTTTTAATTATTTCTCCTCCTCCTCCTTCTTCCTCCTTCTTCCTTCTTCTTTCTTCTTTCTCTTTAAAAGGAGGAATGGACTAAATAGGGTCATTTGAGGTACAGTGTAGTTTCCTGCCCCATAACCTCACCCGATCCTTGTCTGTGGATGGAAAGACGACCCCAAATGGCATACCACACTTCACCTTAAGCAACCCTATCCAGGCATACATTCAGCCACCTAGTTGCACCCGGGCGTCCCCAAGATCTGGTTCTTTGGACCCAATTCGTCGTAAAGGATTCTCCCTGTTTCTTCAACAGGCTCTTTGATGTTGGTGGTCAGAGGTCAGAACGCAAGAAATGGATCCATTGTTTCGAGGACGTCACAGCGATCATCTTCTGTGTCGCGCTGAGTGGGTATGACCAGGTGCTCCACGAAGACGAGACCACGGTGAGTATCTTTGGGGCCAAAGAGTCCCCGAGATGATGTCGTGGCCTTTCTGATTACCTCACTTGGTCCGAGGTCACCTGGCAGACTGTCGTCGGTTCACAGAACAAATGGATCTAACAAATATACTTTGTTACTCACACGTCTTCCGCTAAGTCGCAAATGCTACGCAGATCCCATTGTAGCATCAACACTTGGATTTAAGTCTTCCATTCAGCAGGATATCATTAGCCCAGGTAACAGAGCTGTTTGCACTCTTAAAGTTGGTCAGTGATTCAACCACAGACGTTCTCCAAGGGTGATTCACACAATAGGGTTCACCCTTTGTTTGCCAAGAGTGGGGTCGTGTTTACTTGAAAAGTTTGCTTGGCTTCTTACGTTTGTGAGCTATGGTGTAGGGATTCTCTTCTCCCCCCGCCCCCTTTTGTACATGGATGTCTTCTTGAATCTTTCTGATGCTGAACTTGGGGAAAGAAAATGCATAGAGGCAGGGGCCTCTGAAGCCTTCCTCCCATCTGACAAGAATGTGTCTGACCTACAGTTAAAACTGTAGCTCTTTAAGCATTCTGGCTTCATCCTAAGGAATTCTGGAATTTGTAGTTCAGAGGGCTACTTAGAAGTCAGGGAAGGAGACTAGAGCTCTTATTGAGATAATCATAGAAGTGCATCTACACCATACATTCCTCGCAGTATGATGCTTCTTCAGGTTCCATCCTAAGGGATGCTGGGGAATACGGTTTGATGAGATACTTAGATTGGTCCATGGCTGCTGTCATTCACCGACCATTGCTCTCTAGCAAAGAATTCTAAGTCCCTCATCAAACGACAGATCGAAGAGCCTCGTGGCGCAGTGGTTAAAATAGATAGATAGATAGATAGATAGATAGATAGATAGATAGATAGATAGATAGATAGATAGATAGATAGATAGATAGATAGATAGATAGATAGATAGATAGATAGATAGATAGATAGATAGAGGGAAAGTGAGGATACTGTTATTAATTAACCAACTTTGGTGCCCACAGCATGCAGAAGATTGCACAGAAGCCTTGATTTCACTAGCTGTACTAACCCTGTCTCATTTTCATTTTCTTTCTCTTGTTTTCCTCCTTTTTTGTTTTTAAATGAAGACTTACGTTTTCCTCATTGGCTGTGCTCTTAATGGATCTGCTCTCTTTCCTCCTTCTGGTATCTCAGCTCCTCGTATTTTATGTGGCTGACCGTTTTTCAGATCTTCCTTCTCCTGCACACAGACGTTCTCCAAGGGTGATTCACACAATAGGGTTCACCCTTTGTTTGCCAAGAGTGGGGTCGTGTTTACTTGAAAAGTTTGCTTGGCTTCTTACGTTTGTGAGCTATGGTGTAGGGATTCTCTTCTCCCCCCGCCCCCTTTTGTACATGGATGTCTTCTTGAATCTTTCTGATGCTGAACTTGGGGAAAGAAAATGCATAGAGGCAGGGGCCTCTGAAGCCTTTCTCCCATAGGTAGCCGGCTCAAGGTTGACTCAGCCTTCCATCCTTCCGAGGTCGGTAAAATGAGTACCCAGCTTGCTGGGGGGGCAATGTGTAGCCTGTATAATTAAAATTGTAAACCGCCCGGAGAGTGCTTGTAGCGCTATGGGGCGGTATATAAGTCCAATAAATAAATAAATAATAAATCATATGGTGTCTCTGGAATGGAGCCCCAACTGCTATCAACCTGCTATAAGTATGTAATGTCCTCTGTCACCCCAAAGTACAGATCGTGAGGTTACAAGGGAGGGAGGCATGGAAATTAAAGCCACATCAAACTGCAAATCAAACTGTTGCACAGATATACTCTACCGGCCGTAAGAATGCTGCAATGTTTCAAAACATTGAAAAAGTTTTTTAGATAGATGCCTGAATGTAAGAGGAATGCAGGGGAAATCTGAAGGACATTTAGCCACGATTAAAAGAAAACTGGGGGATATTTGGGTTGTGATGCGCCGTTCATATTTTTCGGGGAGGGTCCACTCTGAATTCCAGAGACAGAATTCTAGGAGTTCCAGTCCATGAACGCCCACCTACAGACACCTATATTTCACTCATGTGGACCAGAGGCTCACTCTGTATGTCTCCGTGGCTGTCTCGGGCCTTCCTTCTTGTTGTTGATGCGCAAATAAGAAAGCTGCTGTGTTGCGTCTTGGGAGCTGCCGTTCTTTGGGAGGTGCCTTCTAAAGGGCAGCAAGACTGCAACCCCCATAAATCACCATGGAAGCTTTCTTCTTCGTGCATTGACAACAGGAAGAAAGGCCGGAGAGATACCCTGGTCCAGATGAGCAAAATATAGGTATCTGTAGATGGGATGAATTCTGCCATGGGAATTCTTGGAGAATTCTGGGCATTGGAGTCCAGAAAAACAAAAGGCACATCCCTATATTTTTGAATGTGTGGATATCTTGGGCTCCATCTTCTGCAAACTCTTACCATTGATGGCTGAGGCTTCTGAAAACTGAAGCTTCCCTACGATCTTGGGCTCCATCTTCTGCAAACTCTTACCATTGAACATGATGGCCGAGGCTTCTGAAAACTGAAGCTTCCCTACACTTGTATTAAAAATGTGGGGAAGTCATCCATACCTCATTGCATCACAAATGCCTGTTTAACGATGGTGGCTTTATGGTCCTGCCTGAGTCTGACCATCGCCGGGGATGTAAAACCAAGCACTTGCTTAGCAAGCGTTGTTGGTGTGTTGCCTTTGGTGTCAACCATCAGCTTTCCTTCTGACTCAAGTAATGGGTTCAAGGCTTCACTTCGTCCTCAAAATCCAGGGGAGAGGACCTCAGTGTGTGTGTGTGGGGGGGGGGAAGGGGTTTGCTCAGTACTCTGATAGACTGGTCAGATAAATATATCAAGCCAGGATGTGAATTGAAAGAATTAATTGCCAATAGACGCTTGCAGTGAAAGGTAGCTCATTCTGTGCTCAGCTGGCAAAGAAACCAAGGATCATGTCCGTGAGCGCGACGTCATTTCAACTTTCATGACAATGGTCACAAGCATTCTAAAAGTCAATGTCTTTTCCTCAGCTGCCTCTCCCTTGTGTTTTTTTTTCTTTAAACCACAACTAAATACAACTCTAAAGGTGCATGTTTGCAGGCCGGCCGGCCAACACACTGTCGTGCGGCAGATGAAAAGAATGGGGAAAATGTGTTTCTGATATGGATTTCAGCTTGTATGAGCTAATCCGAGCATGAAGTGTCCACGTCTAAATCGCTGTGTCACATCCTTCAGAATATAGTTCATGAGGTCCCAAAGAACAGGGCCTTAATGATGGAGGCACCAGAACCATGAGATGCCTTTTCTTGCTTTTCAGTGGGATGTTAAAGATGTATCACTCCCAGCAAGCTTTGGGAGGAGCTGCTGCTTAAGATGATATCAGGCGAATTGCTGTTGTAAATGGCTGAGAGAGTGAAGGTATTCTCAGCTTGTGTGTCTTTTAAATGCGGACCTGTGGACAGTAATCGCAGCCACCTTGCTGCACCAAATGTTTTGAAATGACTCTTTTTTGCTGCCTTGAGTATTTTAAGAGAGAGAGAGGGTATAAACTCTCTCTCTCTCTCTCTCTCTCTCTCTCT